TGTAGTCAGGACCTGCTTCTCATGGAAATTCTGTCAAGGGTACGATTAAATAGAGATAAAACAATTGGGAGTTTATTTAAATTTTAATTTCACATAAAATTCATCTGCAACTATTGTGATGATCTTTTCAATCTTTCTCTTTTGTGGTAGTAAACGGAATCTCTTTGGGTTTTGGACTATATTGATCAGGCAAAAATAAATAAATCAACTTGGGCTCTAATTCACATTTGTAGACATTTTATAGACCAAATGGTTTATTAGTTAATAAAGACAACTATGTAGTTTAAACCAATTTAAATGATTATAAAGATTATTAATCAAAAGTAAAAGTACTGCCAGTGTAAAAGCGTATTCCATTGTTTTTCATATATTTCAGTATTCTAAAATGCACTAAAATGGCAACAACAGTAGCAACATTTCTTCAGAAAGTGTGAGGCTGCAAAGAATCTCACAACAACTGTCATTTTACAATTGACCTCAAAACTATATCTAATTCTGTGCACTTGGTGACAATTCACATCTGATGTGAATTGCTTGCTTGTAGTCAGAGCAGCATGAGTGTGGTGTGTGTGCGTCTGCAGTCAGGAGAGGCACACAGGTGGTTGTTGGGAGACTCGCAACCCCTCTTAACACACAAACACTCAGGTTCATCACTAAAGACGGAGCAGAGCAGCAACCTAATACACCCGTCCCGGGGGTATTCTGCCTTTGCATTTTACTGTGTTGCTGCCTGCTGGTCTTATTTATAGTTCTGTAACACAGGACAGAAAGAAGAGGGTGGGGGAAGGTGTCAAGCTGATATTGCATAATGCTGACGCTTGTTACCTCCAGCTGCTGCAGGTATCGGGTTTCCAGCTGCCTTGCAGTATGCCTATGCACACCCAAGATCCCAACGGCCATAATCACGTAGGGTGATAATTTTATTGGCCTCCACTAAGTTATAAACAGTCCAATGATATATTTAAGATCTCCAGCTCAATCTGTGCACACTTTACATTTTCTACATTGAAGCCAAGACAGAAAATAGCTCATCCCTGTTACAAATAACAGTATAGCCATATGTTACTAGCTGTGTTAGGGAGAAGATGAGCCAGAGAACTAGAGTCAAAGTAAAAGCTATGACGAGATTTCCATAAAGCTCAAGGGAAATACTTCATTCAGGTGGCTGACAGATAAATGCTGTTTTCACAAGGCATAATTAGCTAGAAGAAGCAGGTTTATTTTCATGTTCAGAACTCTCTCAGATGTCCAGAGAAATGTTCCTGAGAGGTGAAGTCTCATCATAACAGCAGCATGGGCATCTTTTATCTCTTCTTTCTCCTTTTCAGCTGCACTACAAGGTATTGGAAGACACACTGAGAGAAAACAATATGCCTGTATTTGTAGATTTTTATAGAAGCTGGCTTTTAGCTCAGGAGATGGAAAACAATAAACAAATAATCTTATAAATACCTTAAGTTCCTTAATATGTGAAGTTCCTGAGAAGTAACTTGCAGCAATTCCATTATGTTTGGGAAGTGACAGAGGGCAGGTGTCTGTTGGAAAAGCGTGGTAGAGCTGGGAGCAAATTCTTGCTGTTAATTCATCTCTCACAATATTCAGATAACTGTTTACTGTTTTGTTCTGCCAGATGAGATTTACAGAATCCAGAGACGGACACAGTTTATTCTCCCACACCTTGTTTCTGTATATATGTTTGTACAGAGCCCCCTTAAATAATCTTGAAGTATAAACTTGTGTTTACATTGCTACCCTCTTTCTGCTGAGCCTGTTGATGGATT